TTTTTTCTTTTTTTTTTTTTTTTTTTTCTATAGTGTGTATGCACTCACTGGGAGTGAGGGCGGAGAGAAAAAGTGAGAAAGCAAACACTATGGGGGAATGGCTATGACACAATCCCTTCTTCTCCATTCTCCTCTTGGAATTTGGGCATACATATGTGCCTGGCATGTTTTTTTTTAAGCCGCCAGGCTCAGAAATTGAACTACGTCGTTGGTCTTATGGGATCCAACTCCCTAAACCACCATGCCACTGGCTGACCCCTTAATCTTATTATGAATTATTCTAATAAAAAATTGGCAGGGCCAGCAGATGGCATGGTGGTTAAGGTGCTGGACTCCCACATGACTGACCACGGTTTGAGTCCTAGACATGGTGGCTTGCTTTCTCGTTTTCTCTTTCTCTCTGTATGTGTCTCTATCTGGTAAAATTAAAATAATAATAGTAGTGATGAATGGAATTAAATAAATAAATAATTATTTGAAAAAAATTTTGGTAAACTTAGCAACATAGGAAAACCACACTGAATTTTAAAAAATTACAAGGACAGTATTAATATCCTTTTGAAGTTGTTTTTGCCTTTATGACTTAATTTTTATTTTTGTTTATTTCTGTCTTAAGACATTTTGTCTTTTATGTACTGACTGTTTATCTTCTTGTCTTTTTTATGTTGTTATTCAGAGGATTTTTCATTGGTCAGTATAAGGAAGGCTACGATGATCATCCACTTCACATCGAATGCTATATAATCAACAGTGTGCTGTTTTCAACCAGAGATTTCCAAGTACGGAGCTATCCAACTCAAGGAAAAGAGCTGGATCCAGGCAGAAGGGCATTTGGGGAGGAACACAGTTTTTATAGTACTCATGGTGGGTCTCCAAAGAAAGTTGCTTCAGCATTCTTTTTCCCTTGAATACTTCTCTCTGCAGGATCCTCCAGACTCTAAACTACTGAATAGGTTCCTAAGTCGATCCAGATCTCACGTGTCTGAACTGTTGGTCATCTTCCCACCCTCTAGCTCTACAGGTAAAGAGGAGATAATAATAAAGGAATAAAAACTATTTGTTTCTGTCTGAATTATTCCACTCTTGAAGCAGCCTGGTGAATTAATTAGCCTCATTATTGCATTTACTATCACACACACGCTTGTTTGTGGAATGTGCACCCCTTGGCATTTGCCTAGTTGTACAAAGAAACACTGAGACTGTGGCATTGGAGTTTGCTTTTGAAGAGAATGGCGCTGTGGCAGCATAAAGCTTGGACAAATTCAACTTTTTCATTGATGAGGTGCAACTGGCATGGCGACATCTTTCTCTGACATCATATGCCAGATTTTAGTTATTCTGGGCCATGTCTCCTTCCTGAACAATAGTTTTGCTTAGTGTGGAGTTCGGTGCCATTATAAAGAGACATGGTACCTCTTGTAGGGGGAGTTTGGAGAACTTTACCTATCAATCTAGATGTGTTATGATGATTAACTGAATTGTGTGGACATGCTGATTTTAACCTCAGTGAAAAAGAAGAAAGAAAGGTATTTATCCTCACTCATTTCTCATAAATAGGCAGGGTTTTTCATTCTGTGTTATCCTGGAATTCTTTCCATTTTTGTTGGTTCTTATAGATTATAATGAGAGGCAACAGCAAGAAATTTGGAATAAAGGATACGAGATTGGCCCTTGATTCTTAAATTTCAGGATCAACACAAAATAGGTGCAAACATGCTCAATGTTTGTTTATTTTAGAGACAGGGTCTGACCATGTTGAGCAGGCTGATTTTGAACTTAGGATCCTCCTGCCTCAGCCTCCTGAATAGCTGGGATTTACAGCCACATGCCACTTCACTGGATTACAAAATTATCTGAAAAGATCAAATTAATTTCTGTACAGCAGAATTTGACTCAGACTAATCGAAGATATTAACATATCCACAGAAACATTCTTAGCCATGAAAGCAGATGAAGAAGTCAGAAGGCAGTGTAGGATAAACCTATTCAAATATCTTTTGGAGATGAGGGAAGAAACTTCAATCCATTAGACCTAGTCCCAATGACAAAGACTATTTCTATCATGACTGAATATCAAGCTATTTCAACTTGAGTCTAATAAATATGCTATTCATAATAGTATCTTTATTCTCGATTTGTTTTGCAAGTAATTTCCTCATTATTAGTTGGCTTTCAAAGTAATTATGCTCTTAGAAAATACACTAACACACATTTCATGTACATTATTTTTTTAAATAATTATTTTATTTAACTTTATTTCTTTATTTTAATTTGACCAGAGGGGGACAGAGAGAATGAAGATAAGAAAGCAAGCCGGCAGATCTGGGACTCAAACTGTGTTCGGCCATGTGTCAGTCCAGCACCCTTAACCACCATGCCCCCTGCCAGCCCCTATTTTCAATCTTTTTTTTAGGAAGTATTTTATTTAACTTTATTTCTTTATTTTAATTTGACCAGAGGGGGACAGAGAGAATGAAGATAAGAAAGCAAGCCGGCAGATCTGGGACTCAAACTGTGTTCGGCCATGTGTCAGTCCAGCACCCTTAACCACCATGCCACTTGCTGGCCCCACAAGTATATTGTTTACAATATTATTTACAAAGGTAGTTACTGTTAAGTGACCAATGTTCCAGACCTTCAGTGAAAGTGTTTTAAGTTATTCATCATAACTAACTTTATTTCTCATAAAAATATTAGTGATTTCTTTATATCTAGCTTTGATATATAATTTTTAGGCATGTTGGTAAAATCAGGGAGAAAGGTTTCGAGTATGGGGGGCAGATCCAGAATTACATTTGCTAAGCCTTTCCTATGAGACTTTCCTATGACATAAAAAATGCACATACATGGCCAGTCCTAGCTTGGTGGGAGATGGACCCCAGAAGGCGACTGTTCAACTTGAATTTCAGCCTAGGGATACGTGACAGGTACATGTGCATATGTTTCCCAAATCCCAGCAGGAAGGAGACGTGGAAGAGAAGAGACTGCAACATGATGGCACCACATTGA